AGTAGCTCCTCATCTTTCTTGAAGTGGGGAGCCCAGCACTGGACCCAGCACTGCAGATGGGGCCTCCCCAGGGCAGAGCAGAGGGGGAGGAGAACCTCCCTGACCTGCTGCCCACACTCCTCTTGATGCACCCCAGGATCCCGTTGCCCTCCTTGGCACCCAGGGCATGCTGCTGGCTTTCTCTAGGTTTTTACTAAAACTCTCTAGTTTTAACTTCTCGATGTTGCGTTTTTAGGAAGGGGAAGATGAAGAAGGAAAAGATTCGGAGAAAGGTGAGTTGATGTGCGCGACGGCTCGTCTGCGCTCCGAAGCTGCGCGCGGAGCATAATCTTCCTCCAGCCGAGGGCTCCGGCGTGGCCAGAAGAGAGATTTCCAGCGAAATCCGAGGGGTTGACTCGGGCTCCTGCGGTCCTTAGAGTCCGTTCCTTCCGTTTGCCACGTGGCTTCGCTGTCCCTTCTGGTTCGTTGCGTCTTGGTGACCTGAACTAAACCTCTGCGCCTTCCCGGTGAAGGGCGATGTGGCTTCTGCGCGTGTCCCCGAGTGCCCTGGGGACGCCGGTCTGGTGCCGTGATAAAATATCAGAGGTGGGGTCCTGCGAGCGAGGGCAGTCAGGGCTCTTGCGTGCGAAGCTCCAGCGGGATTCGCCGTAGCCGGCGGAGAGAAACGAGGAAGCCCTTCCCAGGGCCGCGATTCCCTCATTCTTCAGGACGAGACCTGTCGGATCTCCGCTGACGGGGGGACAGGGGACTAGCTCAGCCCTAACGTCTCCATTTAGTCAGGTGAATCCCATCCTTTGTGTCTACTGAGGAATAAGGAAATGCTGTAGAAGCCCTGCTAGGGAGGAGCTGGATCCCTTGGTCAAGGTAGGCTGGGGAAGCCGCTAGCCGGGGGGTTCGGGAACCAGATTGAATCTCCTGCTGGAGCCGGGGGTTTTGGGAACCAGATTGAATCTCCCGCTGGGCTGTAGGCCTGACTTTGGGTAAGTTGTTTGGGCTGTGAAATGGGATAGAGCTTCCCGGCTTGGGGAGACGGGACCCGGCGGAGAAGGACCGCGATGCCCGAAGGGAGCTTAGAGAAACAGGAGGGCTGGAAAGAAACCTCTTGGCGAGATGCACGGGGAGAGGGGGGCCTTGCTACCCATCCTGCCGTAAATTTGGTCCCGGGACGCATCCGCACGGGGCGAGCGGGCAGAGAAACAGCTTTTCTGTCCCCAAAAGAAGTGGTGTAAATGGGTTCCTCTTACCCGAGCTTTATCGCGTTGCTGGCATTCGCTTTGAGGCCGAACAAATTGGATAGGATTAATCAAACCTGTGGCTAATTAGAACTTTGTAAAACCGATCGTAGGAAACCGTAATTAAAATAAAGAGCTGGGAAACCGCATTAGATTCTGTTGCGGTTCTCCCCTCTGCCCTCCACCCACCAAGCCTGTCCCAGCGCAGCTGCTTTTTATTTTTTTTGTTGGAAAAAGCTCATTTTAGGTGTCGTGTAAAGCAGAAGTTTATGGGTAGTTGGCCGGCGGGAACGGCTTCTCGCCTCTGCGGTGTCTGCGGGTTGGTCGGGCCGACGACTCAGCTTGCCTAGGGAAATTCTCTGTGATCGGGTGGTGTCCTCAAGTGGTGCCCTGAAATACAACCTGCTTTAAACACTTAGGTGCTTTAACGATTCAAGAAGAGATCAGTCAAATCAAACGCAAATTGCAGGCGGGCAAGAAAACTCAAGAGAGGCAAAAGAAGAGGCATCGGGATCGCATGGTGGAAAGGTAACGTCTCCTGATTTATTTTATTTTTCGTTCTTTCAGCGATGTTGCTCTCTCCTCTGGGACTGTAGTTCTCGCCCCCGGGGTCTGTCCTTTCGTCCCCGGTTGTCCCGGTGTTTTGTCTGTTCCTTGTAGAAGCTGCTTTGCTCTCCTGCCAGTCGTCTTGTTGCTCATGCTTAAAAGATAAAAAAGAAATGGGGAAAACCTCGGGGAAACATCCCGTAAATGCTTAAAGGCTTGGAGCCATCCATGAGTTTATCCGCTGCCCCTTCGGTAGACCAAGGGAGTGGATCCGGTGAGAAAGCCCAGTAGAGCTGGAATGGCTTGCTGTGAATATCGCTTCCCTCCGCCTCCCAACAGGATCCAGTTCGTCTGTTCGTTATGCAAATACCGGACTTTCTACGACGACGAGATGAACAGTCACCTGGAGAGTAAATTCCATAAGGAGCACTTCAAGTTTGTTGGAACCAAGTTGCCTCAACAAACGGCTGATTTTCTCCAGGTGAGCCTCTGGTTACGTGTCTGTCCCCTAGGTTTAAGAGTTTGGGCTATTATTATTATTATTACTACTATTATTGTTATTTTGGGGAGGCTGTAAAGCTCCTGAACTGCCTCTCTAAGTAAAGAGAGAGGTTTAAGAGTTTGGGATAATATTATTATTATTATTATTACTACTACTACTGTTATTACTATTATTATTTTTTGGGGGGGCTGTAAATCTCCTGAACTGCCTCTCTAAGTAAACTGTCTTGAAAACTGCTCGAGCAGGTGGAGTAAAGTTGGGCTAAAGCATCAGAGCTCTGCCTTGCCTGTCCTCTTCTTCTGAAGGGGTCGCTTAACCTCTGGTCTTACTGGGTGCACTGGTAGGAAATGAAATACTTGCCCACGGCGGGTTTTTGGTGGCCGGGGTGGGTGACTGAAGCGCTGAAAGGCGGTGCTGCCCGCAGGGCAGTGGGGGGGGATTTGTAGGACTTTAGGATGAGCACGCTAGAGAGACGCACCTAGAAGTTGGGGCGGGGGGAAGAAAATGATTCATACGAAATATTGTGCCGTGCAGGAATACGTCGCGAATAAAACCAGGAAAACTGAAGA